CAATGATCAGTGGATATATATTAAATCGTTAGGGAATTATGTGTATAATGTCACGAAATGCAGGAATTAGAGTTCATGAAAATCTGACTTATTGTGTACTAATGACCCAAGGGTGTCATCAAAAACTAACAACCTAGCATGGGATATACACACTATTAAAACGGATATCTAGCAAATCTATATTCAGTAATAGGCAAAGTTAAACTATCATAGGCAAAACCATAGTGACCCTGAACAACCAATCAGAATTCAGATGCAAAAAAGTGGCATAACTGTTGAAAAATACACTAAATTAAATATTGCAAACATGATTTACCACTGTAGAGTTGCAGCTTATGTGTTGTAAGAATGTCTCCCAGTCAACAAGGTGGGCAAAATTGAGGTTAGGCGTCAAGTGCTAGGTAAGGCGGGGAAATCAGTCGACGAAACGATGAAATTACTTCGACTGAGATGGTTAGGACATGTGTTACGTATGCCTAGTCATCGCCTTCCTCGACGGGCAATGTTAGCTGATATAGGGCCAGGCTGGAAAAGAGCTAGCGGCGGTCAAACGAAAACATGGCACCAGTCAATGAAATCAACAACAGTTAGCTTAAGCCACGTAGGAAGATGTAGACTTCCTGGTTGGCGTCCTCAGGACGGTAAAATCCAATGGTTGGAAACAATTGGTGACATGGCTCAAAATCGTTTTCAGTGGCGCAGATGCATCCACTCCTTGTGACTTATGATTTCCAATGAAACTGTTTTGTTCTCCGTTATTACTATTCCTTTGTCTCACACCTCTGTTTACTGTCTATATTATGCATTTCTTCTCTTGATTTGTGTGCTACATGGAGTGTGGCGACTTGAAGTGCCGCACATATGTGCGAAGTTCTATGTCGAAAACCGACCGACCGATATCCATTCATGGTACTTTGAGATGCACTGATATTTCTGACACTATTCTTCAACCTACTCCTAACTCTAGACCCTAAGCCTTAACTTAAAAAAAAACCCATAACCCTACCTAACGGTATAGATTTACACAAAAGTACCTAAGGAATGAGTAGATTATTGTATCGACCCTCTGAAGGTCCAAAAAGGCAGATATGATTTGATTTGGAATGACCTTTCATAGCATTCCCTATATCTGATGGGTTCTTGAAGGTCAACTTTTGGAGGACCTTGACTTTGGTCAAGATACTTTAACTTCGCCCAGTAATACTTTAGTTTACACTACTTCATGTCTAGCTTAATTTGATACAACTACTGATTTAAACTAATGAAAAAAACACTCAATACATTGCTCACTTCCATCAGCACAATTATGTAATTAGTTTCCGAAACAGATTGGATGATTATGAATGCCGATCGTGTTCAAAGTTGGGATGCGAGGCTAATCAATAATTTGAGTTGAATCCTGGCAGTTTATATCGATATAAAGGTCTCATTTATCCTTGAAAAAGTCACTTAATAATTGGTCATAAGTAAAACTAAGAGTTCACCTATTTCGGATAAGTTTATTTTTTTGGTATAACATACTGTGAATGATACAGTATTTTAATAATTGCATGACTTTTCAAGCACAACTTATTACTGCTCATAATTGCAGCAATTGAATCGACACGGCTTCATAATTTGCTTTATGTTTTTTCTCTTCCCCGCCCCACCCCTCTTGTAATTTGTCATATATACAGTATGGACATTGCGTTATTTCGATTGCGCATGTTTGGTGTTGATTTGATGTACGAGAAATCAGTGATTGACCTCTCTCTCTCTCCACCTAACTATATTACGTTTTAGCACTTTTACCCTACCCCACCCAATTGTGTGATAACATCCAAGTGAATGAATTACAGTGGCAGAGTTTTTTTCTAGATCATTTAACTGAGAAGCATCGATAATTCTAGGCCTAGAAGAATTTCCGTCTTCCGACAATCTACTTTGCCCTGGAATTTAAAGACAGTAGATGTGAGGCATAACTGAATTCCTAAAATAATTTCCTCAATGGGTAGCTTCGTCCTCCAACTATCTAATATCATCAAAACAAAGCTGGCCATTGAGAAATTTACTTTAGGAATTCAGTTATCCCTGACATCTACTGTTTTTAAATTCTAGGGCAAATATGTAAAAAAACAGAAGGTGTAGCAATGGGATCACCAATATCCTCTATCGTAGCAGATATCTTTATGAAGAGGTAGGAAGATATTGCTCTCAATACATTTAATCCTACTCCGAAGATATGGTGGAGATATGTGGATGACACTTTCACAGTGCTAAAAACAGAACATACCTCTAGCTTCTTGACACATATAAACTCACTGGTAAAGGGAATAAAATACACATCTGAATCGGAAATTTAACAAGGAGAACTTGCTATGTTAGATTGTAAAATAAAACGAATAGAAGGTAAACTTCACACTAGCGTTTATAAACAATCAACAGATTCTGATAATAGATGTTTGGACTTTAATTCATCTCATCCGTTACCTGTAAAGACAAACTTAGTTGAGTGTGTAGCATACCGAGCGATAGCACTAAGTAGTACCACAAAAAACCTAGACAATGAAATGAAACGGATGGGAGAACAGCTGGTTGGTGTTAAATAACTATTCTATAAAATTCATTAGGAAGATCAGAAAAGGTCAAAATAATAATAGGGAGAATAATAATGATAACATGAATAAGAAAGAATATAAGGCACCTACAGTTATACCATATAAGGAGGCGACGTCTCAGACCTTACGTAGGATTCTTAATAAAGCCTTAATAAAGGAACTACAGTGGCATTTAAACCTACAAACTCACTCAGGGACAAGTTCTATGGATTAAAGGACTCTGTTGACCCAATTAGACAAAGTTGACTGTGAGGTCAGCTAAATTATTCATACTAGTAGATCGGGAGTAGTCAGATCGTTAGAATAAAAGAATTTAGCGAAAGTTAGAATGATTGACCCCGAGAAGATAAGTAATTTAGAAAAAAGCTCAGCAATCACACTGCATGCATTAACACGCAACCACACAATAGGTTGGGAGAGGGTTGAAAATTTAAAAAGAGAGAGAGAGATTGATACTGAATCCTGGTTCATCGAGTTTACACTCGATACATGCAATAGAAGTGACTCAACGCAAATACCAGAGATATGGAAGATATTATTACCAGTCAAATCAGAGGAGAATAATAAATAATGTTCAAATGTATTCTATTTACATTAAAACATTCTAATAAGTTACTTATTTTTACTATAAAAAATTTCTTATCGACTAACAACACTCATCTTAATTCCCATCCTATTGTATTTTATTAACACATATTGTTTCCGAATGTACTTTATCTTGCATTCTGTTTCAAGCAAGTCTTATATTGATTTTACTGATGTGTATAAAATAAGCAAAAAAGTTACGTGAGTAGTGCCTTGATATGATTATGAGCAATAAATTGTGCTCGAAACGTCATCAGCAGTAAATATTACTGTGATTTTATTAAAATAAAGTTTTATCCATAATACATCACTGTCTGTTGCATCAAATAAGCCTATCTAATATGGAATTACCTTCTACCACAGTGCTCAATTTCTACGCTTACACTAAGAGTTTATTAATATTGCAATACAACTATAATATTTAATGTAACTAACTATCAAACACTAGCAACTTACTTTTACACTTATCTCACAGAACACCTCCAATGTGTATATGCCCAATGATTTTCATCTCGCACATATAATAGCTGGATAACCTCGCCCACTTTACTAGCTGGTCCTAAGCCCAGTAAAAAGAAGGCGGGTTGGGTGGAGGGCTAGCGACCCTTCTTCAAAAGACCAATCCAATCGCTAGGGTAACTCCGAAGCACATCAATAATATCTAACTTAAATTCAAAGTACGATGCAGTGTAATTTAGTGTAATCATAGGTAGTTAACGTAACCTATGACTAGTGACCAGAAATCAGTATTTCTGTTGCAAAGGCTAGATGATTTTGATTGGACACTAGTAACGAGTATGATGTATCTCCTGCCGATTGCCTCCAACCATCTAATATCATCAAACCAATGTGCACCGTGATGGCGAGCTACCTAGAATGGTGGCCACATTACAAAACTGACTGATAGAATTCAGTCTGCACCAAAGAAACGACTAGACACGTCACACTAGTTACTAGTCTCCTATCAAAGTATCCACTACAGTCCTACAGGAGGTCAATCGCGAACCCGAACAGCTCAGTGGTAACATCTCTGACTGCAGCACTGGATGACGCGGGTTCGAATCTCCGAAGGGACAGGAGTTCCTTCAAGGTTGCAGATACGCCTTGCTGACGAGTGCCAACTAGAACGAAACCTAGGTCCAAGGCTTCCTGCCGATTGCCTCCAACCAACTTATGTCACCAGGGCTAGATGATCCATATTAGAACCAAATGATGAACTGGTGCAAGAAATGTAAACAAAGAAATTATATTCTTTTTTTTAATTCAAAGGAGTATGTTTCTTCAATCAGTCTATTATCTTTTGTTTTCTAAATATGGGAATAGGAATTTTTAAAAGTCGAATAGAACTACCTATATTCCCGTCTACTCTTTTTAACTTTTACCTTGACACGCAAATGTTACCTATGAAAACTTCAACTGTTTCAAAGTAATGACTTCTGCATCATTTTTCTAGCATGAATGGTTTACAGAAAATTTGATTGGCTTCAAGTTAGCTCACAAAATAACATTCGTTCAAGAAGCATTGAAAACCAGGGAGTATTTACTGGACAACTGTTTCGTTATAGTTTAGGACTCTTCAACTGTAGGCACACTTGCACCACCTCTCCTCGGTGGTTGGTTACGAGGTAAACCTCTCACATTCCCTCTTTTTTGTATTGTCATCAAAAATGCTAGGCGTAAATGATGACCATTCAGGCCGCTTTGTTTTTTAATTTTATTTTATTTAGAAAACGAATCATGCTTCAATATGAAGAGATTAGATAATTTCCGCTGGTGAACTCAGAGGAAAACACATTTATTCAATTTGATCAACTTATCTTTTTTTATTTAATTTTTGACCCAAACAAGAACTGCAAACGACACATAAACAAAGGAACAAGCAAACAAAGACAACTACTAATCACCAAAAAAACAAGGATACAAGTCGACCAGAAGTAATTTTTTTGAACAGATACTTGCATAATATTTACTTCAATATTTTTTAGTAATTTGATATACACAAAAAATGATTCCTAACTGTGTTTTTTTAGAAGAATAAGACGAAAGACAAGCAGCATCAGCTGTAGAAGAAAAGGAATATAGGAATGAAAAAGGCATGTGTATCTTCATAAGGGAAAGAAAGAGAACTCTTCAGTAATTTGAAGTGATGCAATCATTTGTTACAATAATTTACTTCAAAAGGAATTATGATTTTCAAATGTTTTCTATAAAAAAATGTGTCTTTGTATGCGCCTGTTCTCACCTTCTCTGTACTCATCTATTCGGATAGGAATAGACGATTTTGAGAAGAAAAATGAGGAAAATAATAATAATAAAAATTATATAGATGATATGAGGCCTTTTCTTTACTTTGTTTCATAAAACGATTCAATCAAAAATGTTAATTAACATTTACAGACACTGACAACATGTTTGCATTTTGAGTACAAAAATGATTAAGCCGACAAATTTATCAGTTATGCTTCAGTGTATGCGATGGTAACATTCTTGGCTTAGTTGTCACAGCTTTATTTGTTTGATCATAATTACTGATATGCGTATCATTATTATTAGTAGTAATATTGTGATTACTAGTACTACTACTACTGAGAACAGTTGATTGTGAGTCTAAATTTCGACTTGGTGCCAACAGGGTATCAATGAATCTTGATTTATCCAACAGGAAAGTTTGCAATTCACCGGTGGTAGTATCATTTGGATGTTGAATACTAGCAGCAGAAGCCGAAGCAGCAGCAACAGCAGCAGTAGAATTATGTGCAGTAATGGTAGAATTCGGGTCACCTTGTGTAGCAAGCTTCTTTGCATGCAGTGATGCAAAGTGTTTTAGCATAGAATAGACAGCCGCCGGACTACAGCCTAGTGAAATTAGTGCATGTACACTTCTAAAATAGAAAAGTATATAGGGGAAAATATGAATGCAAATTATTATTATTATTACTGTTATTATTATTATCATTATTATTACTACTGTTATTATCATTATTGTTATTATTATTACTATTATTATCATTATTATTATTATTTTCAATACTTGAAAATTAATCTGATGCTCACTAGTGACTGGCCCTATTCAGGCAGTTAACCTGGGGTTCTAGCGGGAAGCCGTGACCAGTAGGGTGCAGCAGGTTGAAGATGAGGCATTAACTCATCTAAGAAGACATTGCGAAATGGTCGCGCTATGTCGTGAATTGGCAGAAGTTAGAATTCAAGGACCATTGGATCGGGTCCCAGTGGCTCAATGGTCTACGAGCTCGCCTTGTAACCAGAAGGTCCTGGGTTCGAATCCTGGCGGGTGCGTGCTGCTGAAGAGTCCCAAACTAGGATGAAATAACTGTCCAGTACTCCCTGCAGGTTTTCCAGTGCTTCTCTAACTGATGTCAGCTCATGATGAAATCCTCCATGCAATTATTATTATTATTATTATTATTATTATTATTATTATTATTATTATTATAGAAATGTTTATCAGTGTGAAACTCGTTTAAGGCAAATTTAAGACACATGATGATGAAGTAATAATGGTGTTGAATCTTTTCTTTATTGAATTGGAAGTTACGTACTTGATAATAATGATAATAGCACACAATAGTGACAAAGTGAATCAAAACATTTTGTAGCTGGATACTTGAGGCGAAACTATTGAATGAGTATCCTAGTTGACTGCTAAGATGTTTAAATCATACCTTTGTATTTGAATACGATAAGTTTCATCTTATCACGGTATAACACTAGTGGATAGATAATTCATCAGATTTCCATTTTCTACAGCTGTTGTACAGCATCCAAAAAGTGGCACAGTCGGGTGTAGGATAATTTTGTACGACTAGCATCAAAAGTTCCCGGTTCACGTGAGAGAGGCCGTCCAAGTCAATAGGTCGAGACTTAATTGGATATTACCTAAAATTGACACTGGAAATTACGTGACTAAAAGTAAAAGTAAGCAATGAACACCCCCTTGAATGTATTTGATAAGTATACTGGTCCATTTGACTTTGTTTTTTTATTCAGCTATTTTATTAATGTATGTAAGCGCTTCTTTCACGTGTATTTACCAGTTTAACTACACCTGTAGGACTAGTTACATTAAGCGTGCGATTATGAAAGTTCATCGTTGAATTTCTGAACACCACACATCAAGGTGGGGCGAAGGATCAAATAAACCGATATGTAATTCAATACTAGCTCATCTCATTGACACTAACAAAGCTTTCAAAGTCGTTTATCGTATTTCACCCAACCTTTCACATGCGCTAAGAGGATGACTTTAACATACAGAAGAGGCAATCGGAATTGATTTAAACAACCCAAATCTATGTGTTCAAAACGAATTCCTGCAGCTCCTTTCTTTGCCATGGACATCTACATAGTATGCAATGGTTATATCTCCCTATCAATGTGACTATCATTTGACATTGTTACTTTATTATTATTACTACTACTTTGGCCAATAAAATTAACCTATTTGTATCTTGATGTCCTTTCGTAATTCATTCATCTATTCTTCTTAGCCATCAGTGGCTTACACGTTTTTGATTATGCTAAGTCTTGTTGCTAATCTCTACTAATCTTGAATTCCATAATTATTCCCACTTACCCCCCTCCTTCCTGTACCTCGAAATTGATAATTCTTATTGAATATTATCACCACCATATGACTGCCATAATTTTGATGTAAAACTATATATATATATATATATCTTCACTCAATTCGTTATTTTTCTAAAAGCGCATTATTTACAGTTCCTAAACTTCAAAAATAAGTAGAAATTTAGAGAAGGGGGAAAAGTACACATGATTAAAATGCACATAGACATAGAAGAAGAGAAGAAAGTAGGTGTCTGTCTGTTTTCGACATAGAACTTTGCACATATGTGCGGCAGTTCAAGTCGCCACACTCCATGTAGCACACAAAGGAAATGCACGGGAGGAATAATAATTACATGAAGATTAATTAAGGTTTCCGGACTCCGACTGATGGCAATTTTGAACGATCTGAAGCTATATAACATACAGTCTTCATTAATAACGTGTTTATTACGGTACTTGATACAACCTCCTAAATAAGTGAAGTAGTCAATACCTGTCACCATTTTATTCTTGGACAGTAAACTTGTTGTCACTTGTCATCACTTTAGATAAAAACTCTTCATAATCTCTTACACAACAGAATGAATTGTGTTATTTCTAAAATAAGCGTAATATGGCTTCTTTACACTCCCTTCACAATAAAAAAGTGTCTCAACACTTCACGATTGATACAGTCGAATTCCGCCTTCATATCAGTAAGGACAGATGATGCTGATGGCAGATAACTTCCATGATCTACCGTAGAATAAGGATTTTCATCTACCCACTATCTTTCTAGTCTGAAACTTGTCAAATTTTTCAAGTTTATTTCTCTCGTAGCACACTTAGTCTTCAAAAGACTATGGGCCATACTATTTTTGATACCATACCGGTCAGACAAATCTCTCATTGATTACCGAAGAAAGTTTTGTCGCCTTGTTTACAAATTGGAATGATCTATACCATCCTAATGAAAGTATCTCGGACTGTCATAAACTACTATTATCCTAGTAAAGCCAGTCAAAAATTCATCGCCATAATCCTTGATCACTTCCGAAACCAATAGCAATTACTTCCTAGTTCTGCACTGTACTTTTCTATTATTATAACCCCGGTTACAGTTGGGGGACATATATCTATATCCCATCCATGCTGAGTTTAAACAACGGGCAAATAAAGTGCATCTGTGGGCCAATTAGACTCCTCTTTAAAGTGTTCTTTATAAAAGACAGGATGTCGTTCACGAAACGTTAACAACTTCTCATCCTTATCAAAGTGTAAGCATCTTACACTGATTTTAACTTCTTCTAACCTAACAGCTATTCAAGAGACTTTTCTAATAAAGTAGGATCTATATAGCTCATTTCTTCATGGTGACATGCAACCCCAACCACCACGTCAAGGTAGCAGCTCTCAGGTTGATACCCAATACGATAAGAAGTTTATGTTGAAATATAAGTAAAACTACAGAAGCACAAACGAAACTAATCTATACACCCAGGAATTTCTTTCAAACATAAACACACTTCTAATACCTATTCTTCTTCAATATAAAAGTCTCATACACAATCAGAATAGTTTGAGAAGCAAAGTATTTGCCTTGATAGCATTTTCATAAGGAAGTGATGAGTTTGTTGGAGATGGCAGATATGCCCTACTGTCCTATACCACAAAGAATGACACTCGAGCTCCTGACTCCTCATTCAATCGACTTCTAATATTTACGATCAAACCTTATTGTGTGACTTTCTTTATTGACAACTTTGCAAACTTAGCAGATAGACCTTGATAAACAAATAAGGGATAATCAGTTACGATAGTCAGTACACAGTGACCGATTGTTTCACAAAGATTTAAAACTAAAGAAAAAATTCCAACATAAATAGGAAACTTTTGCCTAGCTTTTAGTTCCATGGTTTATTGGATTGTTCAGAAGTCTTGTATGAACAGTTTATACAATGCACACTAGACGATAATGCCGACCATGAAGTAATTCGGAAACTATTAATTTAAGAATAGGATTTGAGCACTGTGGCACGGTATAATTCCATTATAGAGAAAGTCTATTTGATAGTCTCACAGTGTTATACAGCAGTGTTTAACAATGACGTTTCGAGCACAATTTAGTGCTCATAATCATATCAAGGCCATTTGGAAACTTTTTCAACACTACAGAGTGCTGCAAACCTTTATAAACCGAATCCAACACCTCTATGATGACGCCATATTTCAAGTGATTCACAACGGAAAGCTCAGTGAAGCCTCTGAAGTGAAGATACAAGTAACACAAGACTGCCTATTATCACTGATGACGTTCCTCACTGTGGTAAACCGGATCATGCAACAGGCCATGGGGAGCAAGATGGGTATACGTTGGACAGATAAAAAGACCCTAGATCTGAACTTCGTAGATGCTTTATGTCTAATGTCACACAAATTCGAAGATCCACAGGCGAAAAGCAATAAGATGTGTTCAACAATAAGAAAACTGACGAAACCCAACAGATTCGTGTCATTCTGTCCCATTTCTTCTTGGTGTACTGTTAAATTCCATTAAAAAATAACGTATATGAAATAATAAATAATAAGTCTACGAAAGAAAGCTCTTACACTAGAACTCTGAAAAATTTCGCCACAACCAAATCATTCAAATTAAAACGTATTTGTATACCTGAAAACCATGTTGTCCATTGAAACTCCAGCTTTCATTGAGAGTTCGTATAGGGCAACAGTCCTTAGGCGGTACATTTTTAATGCATCACTATCCTTGTGAGGAGACTAAAATATATAATAAAAGAAGACTGAAAATTTCAATGGAAAACAAGACAAAAGATGTATGTATGAAAAGGGAACTAAGAAAAAACCTTGAATTATGAAAAATAATCCGTGTGATAAAAATTAGAAAGGCATCGGTCAACAAAGAATATTCTTTCCACAACTTTAAATCGAAACTGTATTTTTTAAAAAAACGAAAATATCCATAGAGTCATGAAAAAAATAAAATACAACTCAGTAAAGAAAATTTTCTTTATCAGCGAAGTTATCTACAAAACTTGTAAGATCGTATTTATATCTACCGAAAAAGTATAGCAGTCTATTATTGACTAATAGGGAGTGTGACATAATTGAAGTAAAGGTCGAATATTAACTTTAGTCAGTAGCGAAAAATATAGACTGATCATTACCGTCAGCTACTTAATCAGATTTGAGGAATTGCCTTATAACAAGTCCTTAATTATAATCACAGCGAAGAAAAAAGTTGCATGGCATGTCATTTAATAAGAAGTCGACACTGAGCCAAACACAACTGTATCAACTTACTATTCTGTCAAAACAATGTACACAACTATTGGAGGGCAGTCCAAAGACACCGATACTTCCTCAATACATCTCTTTTTATTACATTTCAGTGTATATCAACAAGCGAAACATGAAACCTTTTTGGCCAACAGAAACAATGTAAATGTAACTACTGAAATATCTTAAAATACTTCAACACAAGCCACACCAAATATGCTGTAATACAGTGGTGTATCTGAGTAAAACAGCTAAGAAAGAGCTTCTAGCAGAATTACAAAAACAAAGCATGCTGTTCCATTCTCATGCTACTCTCAAATGTTAGTCCCTAAATACATTCCAGCAGAATATTCCCTACGTATCTCATGCTTAAGTCCGGGTATGAACGCACAGAGAATTATATTGATAAGCATAAGACCTACTATTGGTCCAAGTTGCTACAAAGCAAGCGATAATAAAAGTATAAACATAATATAGGATATGTTATAGAATCACTAAACGAAAAGTGGAGGTTAAGCGAATAGACGAACTTCACACACATATTCCGTTTTATGAACAAGAAAAGAGCAAGAAAAAAAATTCAAACAATATCAATCCAGATTGATTTCCTAAACTATACAATCTGTAAAGAATATTACAAAGAATTGCCCTCCACTAATGACTGAGGGTGAGTTTGCTCTGGTCTTCCTATAGAAATTCTCTCATGTGACTACGCGTTCATAATCTCTGCTAAGTAAGTTCTATTCAACGCCTATACGTAGTAGAGGATGTACCTACAAAAGTGAAAGGGTAAGTGTGAGTGTTCACTACTTAGCACTGGACTGGTGGACATTGAGTTCCATCTAGGGTAAATAGAAAGGCCCTGATTCTAAACAAAATGCGAGAGGATCAAATGATGCAAGCACCTCCTGATGCTGCTCTGCTGTCTTATGGACCAGATTCCAATTCAAATGCTTTTGAAGTGGTCCCCAAAGGCAACCACTTGCTCTTGCCTCGGCGTTCACACAGTATCTCAGACTTCACACAAATAAAAGAATGATCAATGAACAATCCCAATTTCATACACACTATGGTAGCTCATTTTTTTAAATTATATGTTCAACAAGTTGATTTTTCCATTTTATTTCTGCTCTTATATACACAGTTTTGATTTATTTATATCAACTTTACAGTTTTCGATATGTTCATTATCATCAGTCGTCTGCTATGGTTTGAAATTTCAGTCTACCCACACCGTTTCAAACAGCTAGTTGACTGTCTTTGGAATGTCTGCATACACTGCGATTTCTAACACGGCTATTCTGAAATCACGTGTCTCGTTCAAGCTTGCCACGTACAATGTTCACAGAGTGTGGACAAACTAGTTACACTAATTAACACATCGATCGAGTTTTTACACACTATAGGAGCTAATTTCAATTCTACCAATTGTTGTGGGACACAAATCTCCCGCATGTTATCCTCATGGAAGAAATATAAGGTGGTGTCCCAAAACTACCAAAATATCCACCAGCGAAAGAGATGGAAAAGGCATCGGCGATTGGTAGCACCAGGAAACTATTTAGACTTATCAGGGAAACAGGTGGCAAAAGGCAAATGATAAGTGAAACAATCTCCGAGAAAAATGGCACCTTAATTAGCTCTCAGGAAAGACGACTGTAACGTTGGAAAGAACACTTTGAGGAGCAATTTAATGGGTCTACAGCTACGCTGAACTTACCCAGCATCCAACACCTCCCTGAATGGGATATAAACACAGGTCCTCCGTCTCTAAATGAGGTTACAAAAGCAGTCACAAATCTGAAACGGGGCAAAGCAGCATACTTACTTATTTTACTTCGGCTATCTCCTACAGGAGGATGAGCCGGCTTCATGAACATCTCGAATCGTTTGTAAGAGAGTTCATAAAGTTTCATGGGAATTTGGTACGAGTGATGTCCCCAGAATCCCTCGGCCTTTTGTTTGAGAGTGCAGCTCTAGCCTTTACACAACCAAGTGTGACCTACAAGGCAGTAGGAGTGGAGTAGAAAGTCCACTATTCATTGGCAGCCGGTGACCGTAGTTCGGTTCATACGCCTTTTTGAATGGGGCCAGACATCCAGGACATCCAACAAGCCCTTTGTCCATACGTCTGCCGGTGAGCTCCAGTGAACTTCATACACCAGTCGTTGGAGGTTTGGAATCAGGGTTTAGCCATCTCCCCTAGACTGTCATCCAATGGACAGTCAACCCGGTGAAGAGCGCCGGGCATCCGCTTTCGCCCTCTCACTTTGGTGAAAAACACCTCCGCCACGTGAAGGCAGTGAGTAGGACTTCCTCAGGAGAGGCTATGTAAGACGCCCGGTCATATGGGAGCATTTCAAGAGGTGTGCGGAGAGGTGGCCAACCCGCAGCGCATGGCATCCACCCCCGACCATCCTGAGGCTTTGGAGGCAAAGCAGCATGACATGATGGGATGACTCCAGAGGTGTTTAAGGGTGGTAGAGACAGCTTACTATCTACGTTAACTATGGTATTAGGCAGCGTCTGGGAATCAGAGGAAGTCCCGTCGGGTTGGTGTAAGTCAAGACAAGTCTTCCTGTGATAATCACAGGGGGATTAGCTTGACCAATATGCTATCTTAAGTCCTAGGCTCAATAATCATGTGAAGACTAAGAGGTGTTCGGGAAGAACAAACACGAGAGAATCAGGTAGGGTGTCCTGATCATATCTTCACCCTTCGGCAGATTCTGGGACATTGGCATGCTACCCGCATCCAACAATCATCACATTTCTCAACCTGAAAGCACTCAATTCTGTCGACTGAGAGGTACTATGGCGATGTTTGGTTGTGAAGGGAATGCCGAAAAAATACATCGCACTGATCAAGACACTTGACTCGAACGCATGCAAGCAGCCAGGTGAGAGCCTAAGGAGAGTTGTCATCTGAGGTGGTGACAACCAGTGGTATCCATTGTGGGTGCCCTGCTCACTGTCCCCATTTCTCTTTAATTTCACCATAGATGTACTAATGGACTTAACCTTAACTGACTTAAGGGATAACAGTCTCGTTGACTTTGAATATGCAGATAATATAGTTCTTCTGGGTGAAGACGCTAACAAAATACAGTCTTCTGAACTCCTTGAGCAGCAATCCCAGTGTGTTTGGAATGAGATTCGCTCCCGTCAAATGCATGATGATGCTACAGGACTGGACTAAATCGACTCCTAGCCGAAAGATTGAAATTGAAATGGTAGAGCGTATTGACCACTTCACTTATTTGGGAAGTTGCATCAGCCCGTTTCAGAGGATTGACCTTTGACGAAATCTCAGAACGGATACAGAAAGCTCTTTTGGCATTTGCCCACTTACGCCATCTCTGGCGTAGACGTGATATCCAGCTGTCGATCAAAGGACGTGTGTGTGGCAGTTTGCTCTGTCTTTCTTTATGGCTGGCTGTGAAACATGGCCATTGAAAGATAAAGATATGAAAAGGCTAGCTGCTTTTGATCATAGGTGTCTGCGTAATATCTCCCGTGTTAAGTGCTATAACAAGGTGAGCAATATTGAGGTGAGGCTTCGGACGAGTGCTAGGTAAGGAAGGGAAATCAATTGACGAGGATGTGAAGCTACATCGACTGAGATGGTTAGGACATGTGTTACGCATGCCTGCCTAGACATCACCTTCCTGGACAGGCAATGTTAGCTGACATATGGTCAGGTTGGAAAAGAGCCAGCGGTTGTCAAACCAAAACATTGCATCGGTCAATGAAATCCACAACAGTTAGTTTAAGTCAGTCACGTAAAGACGTGCATACTTCCTGGTTGGTGTCCTCGGGATGGTAAGAACCAATGGCTGGAGACAATTGGTGATATGGCTCAAAATCGTTCTCAATGGCTGGCTCAGATGCATTCACTTTTTATGATTTATAACATCCAATAAGATTCCATTGTTCTCCCATATTACTTTTCTTTCTGCCTCACATTTTTAGAAATGTGAGATAATAAACAGCTGTTTATCATCTTTCCTTTGAATCTTGCTTTACTCCCTTCTCTTGCTTTGTGTGATACATGGCGTGTGGCGACTCGAACTGCTGCACATCTGTGCAAAGTTCTACGGTAAAACCAGTCAGTCAACAAAACGTGGACTGAGCTGGAGAAGGCGTGGGTAAAATGTAACGTAATTTAGCCACTTTTCCCATACCGCCTACTTTTTCCCCGTTTACCCATATCCCGAAAATTTTTTACATCCCACTTTCCCTCATTAAACAAAGTTTACAACAAAATTACCCAACTTTTTCCGTTTAACCAAAGTTTGTTAAAGAGAAATTGCCAGCTTTTACAATATTTCTTCGGCTTTAAGCTACTTCGAGAACGAACTAATTAAACATGTTCGCCTTTTACTGTTATTACTAGACTCGATAACTCCTGCAGTTACAAATTTGATGACTACTTGTTTCAGATTCTAATATTTCTACAACTGTGAATTTCACTAATATAAAATAAGGCTAAGGCAGTGAGGAAACATATTGTTTTATAAGGTAAATACAGGCTTCATTAAAATATAACAGGTGAAAACGTTTGAAAAAAAATGACTTTATGGAATATTTTGAGGCAGTGATTTGTTGACCGTTAATAACCGGTTTTCTTGCCTGGAAAATAATGAGAATAACCTAGTGATGATTAAACATCCAAGTTACGTAACAATTTGCGATTTATTACAACCATGGGCAACAGTAAAAAAATAGACACCAACTTCGAACAACTACAAATAAATTATGTGGACTCAAAAGCTACACAAAAAATCTTAATTTTTGCTTACCATCGAGTGATGCATCAGGACACCAATTTAATTCAAGAACTCAAGGTCGCTCGACGATTTTTTGAATAGCACACAAACTTCAAATTTCCAATATTTAGTATAATTCTTACAACTTACCATAAACCGAACTGGATCTATGGAAATCGTTATTGGCTTTCAGGTAATGATTTCTGATGTTTGGTGAGCTTTAGTGTAGTTTAACATACCATTCGTCTGCCATCGCTACCATATACCCGGATAAGAATTTTGTGGGAGGATGGCTTTTTCTGATTAGCAGTATATGATGTATGGCACTCTTATAGCTGGAGTTATTCCTTTGACCTGCTGAACATCCAGTGTATTCGAAACGCTAAATAATATGTATATCAGGATTAATAAATTCACGTCTAATGGAGGACATATAAAATAAAGACCACCGAGTAATTAACTAAAAATTAAAATTGGAAATTAAATGAATAAGTAATCAGGACAGGCAGAAGACTGAGGGGAGAAAAACTCGTCTGGAGATCAAGAACGAGTTTGGCTAAAATCCACCGATAGACTGAGATATGTGATGGTTACATCTCAGTTCATTTGGGAGCGCAGCCAACCTGGTGCAATCCGTGTTGTTACTCCATTATCCAGGCTTCACTTCACTAACCAGATTCGCGTTACAAGAATACGGCAGTGCTTTCACATTTGTGAGCGCCAAATAGGATTGACAAATAGGCGGTAGATTCGAAACAAAGACTTATCAAGAATCTACAGTGAAGAGTTCACACTGGAAATACAACAGCTTATAACCAATTAACTATAAAACAGTAGTCGTTGATAATCTTAGTTACGGTAGTCAACTAGTTAGCTTCATTAATAACAAACCAGATACCACAGCACACTGTAAAAGCTGGATTTTATTCACCTTTGTTTCTGTGCAACTATAATACGAGGAGGATAAATAAACGATTAAACACTATGCTGACGAGCAGAATACCTGAAAATGAACTCGTCGGGTTACTCCTAGAATCTCTTTCAGTAGCACAACCCGAATCGACAAGTACTGCTCATTTACTACTCTCAAACGAATATATAAAAATACACCTTTGCATACCTGAGTGGTCAAGTCAGAAGATGCTTTGGAAATATTCTTAATGTCTTCAATTAAAATGATCGGCTAACTAAATATTACAATCCCGACAGGCAGGAGACACTGTATAGACTTCTTATCATTTTCATCCTGCTGAAGGGGTACTAATCATGAGGTTATTTATTCGTAACTGAGCGTTTTTGATAGTGACGAGTCTCTCAATTCATTGTCAGAATTCCATAATTACTGAATTAATGTGAACAAAAGTTGTCATTAGTAAGTGCACCTGGAAGACTGGCTGATTGTGATCCTGAGGTCGTGTTTCAGACGAGAGCTAAGGATCACTGATCATTATGTCTAAGTTTTGTTAGATTCAGAAACATTTACGTAAGAAGATTCACCGAATATTTTAGCCCGAGTATTGCCGAATATGTGCTAGAATACTGGCGGATAACTAGTTCACTAACTTTTTGTTACAGAGCTTATGATTAGAAGGTCTGTTAAATGTAAAGCTGATTATTATTCCATCGGGCGAACTAAGGAGTAAGAATCAACTACTTTTCAGATAGATATATGCATCTTTACACACCTCCCCGACACTCCTAGCAAAACCAAGAGACTTATTTGAGTCCTGTAAGATTCACTTAAAAGGATTTTGCTCAAAAGTATAGGCTTCAATCCATAGAAACTTTGGTTTTTAATTGTCCAGAAGAAGTGTGGAAAGTGAACCATTTTGATTGTTAATTGATGTGGTATGTATTACTACAATTGTTCGGTGGAACATAAGTAGGAATGATTGGCAGACTGCAGGCTGCTCACGCGCTCGCTGCTGTTAGTAAATATGGACCTTCAATTGATGTGTGGGTCAAAGCCAACAAAAAACACCAGGAATCAGAATCAAATAATTGGTTTAAAGTGAGAATTCCGGCTGTTCATGATTTATTCCTGGAATACCGGTGATCACATTATAGGAACAGAATCCAGCCACTGAGCGAGTGCAAATTTATTTTTGGACTGGATGGTTTTACGGAAACAAATATCTTATTCTTGTGTGGATAAGTGAATGTTTATGTGTATTTTTAATCTTTGATGACTTATGTTTAACAGGTAAATAATGAGTAGAGTGGGCCTTAACTGTATCACAAATGAGGAAAACAAAGGTATTCCAGATGGTGACTTGAAGCCGCTGATAAAAGGTCTTTTCGAAGCGTGTTAAGAATAGGTTCAACGGGTTTTTGCTGATGATCTTACAGAGGACTGGATATGAACATTCACTTCTGCAGAATCAATGTTCGAAGTGAATAAGAATAAGAGGAAGGTGTTTAACAGCAATTTACTGTTTTAGGTCTTGTGCCGTTTCTGCCATAAAAAGCTTCATCTGGCTTTTACCGATAATATTATATTTTAGACAGCTCGTACAAAATATCAGTGAAAACGACTTTTGAGAGGTATTATTAGTGTGGGTTTTTCAATATTTTTTAACCATAACGAGCAGTTGTATTGCTGGGTAAATGGCCTTACTCCACTAGTGGTTATGGAATAAAGGATATTGGAGTCTTTATATGTCGTGGCCTGAAGGATCTAGGGAACTGAAAATTACTGCATACCAAGAACTGAAGAACGTCGCAGGCCATTCGCAAAGCCTTTCTGAGCTTTTATGATGAAATATATTAGCTTGCATACCAAGCCTTCATCAAACCTCATTTGGAATCGTATTATATGGTTTTGGGTCCTTCTGTTAACTTATTTGAGGATACAATAGATCTCCGATTTACAGAAAATATGAAGAATTATTATCGAAAAGAACGCCAATATCGCTCGAACTTTGAAAAGGGAGTGCATTTTACACGCTCTTGTTTAGTTTTGGCTTTTGCTGTGTTATATGCTCCAAAAGTCTACAGATTAACTTTAAATCAGTTTATTCTGATCGAAGTTGTGTTCTGATAACTTAATAGTTATGTATATTTTTGTGCACTCATTGGCTTTTTATCCCTGATTTATAAAGGTTATATACATATAAAGTCATATTTAAATTGTTTTTCTCCAGTTGGCTCTAAAAAGCATATCGATCAAAGGAAACTGCTGCGGAAGGGTTATGTGCTAATTTCCAGTGGGACGAAAGACAATATATTTATATTTATTTATTCCTGTTTATGCAGGAACATACCAATTGTACAGGCATGGATAAGTTATTATATAAATTACAGTTTGTTTGTTCAATCTAACATTAGAGTCAGTCAGAACAGTCTGCAAAATAGTCTGTCTGTGTAACACATAAAGAGATATAGAAATATTGTCTTCGCATTAACAAAAAACCCAGACTTCAGATGAATGTGATACAAATATCTGGGAAAAATAAAGCTTGAAGTCAATTCTCCTATAAAACTTTGTTGTGAACAGCATCCGTGAGATAAAGTTTATTGATGTATTATTTTGATTCAATAATGTATTTATTCCATTTTTGTCAGCAGTCTTATCGTAGTTTTATAATAGGAAAGAAATTTGATCTTTGATACGAAAATTAGATAAGGTTATGTTAGATTGTTTTACTGCATCAAATGGGGTCAACTCTAGAACTATCCATTTGCGCCATTTGCGTCAGCATGGCAGACTGTACATGTAAGTTGAGTAATACATTGAAAACTGTTTGAAAACCAGTTGTTTCTTTATATCAGATCAAGAATACTCCTTGTACAGAATGTTAGCCAGCGTTTTCAAGTGGTTGCATCGGATCGTTCATGGAATTTGATTTTGAATTTACTTAAATGGTCATTTCAGTTTAGATGTTGGGTTGTTCGACCTCGACCAGGAGGTATATGGAAGATTACGCTCAGCAGGGAGATAAAGTATGTAAATATGGAAAGAAAATTATTATTTTATGTACATATAAATGTTTATAAATGTATATCATTGTATAGTAAACACTACCCATAATCTAGTTGTTTTTCATGTAATTTTGCGAAGTCTTAGAGTTTATTTAGTGTCGTAATATTTAGTAATGAGTCTAGGCGTTATAGTGTTCTAATAGCTCATGCGTTTTGGAAATAAGTGGTGCGGTGTGATTGGCATAGTCATTGGGATGAAACAGTTTATATAGCAAGCGTTTGAAGGTTATAATAGAGTCACAGGTCCTTATTTCTAGGGGTAAACTGTTCCAGATCTTAGAGTACATGACTATGAAGAAGTTTGCACGGAGTGCTGTTTTACAGTTTTTCCTAGATACTGTGCACGTTTGGTTACGAAGGTTGTAAGAGCCTTCCGGTGAAAAGTGTATTTCCTTGCTGTCTGAGAATGATATTTTATGCAATATTTTAAAGAAGAATGTTAGGTTAATGCTCAGTCGTCTCATCCAGAGTTGGTCGATACCTAGAGTTATACACCTTGATGTGTAGTCCTTTTCGCAGTCAAATCCTAGTAGTTTAGACGTGAAGTGTCGTTGGACACTTTCTATTTTAAGTTTGTCACTTACGCGAGTGCTGCTGAGAATAAATGGACAATATTCAAGTAGTGGTCTGACACAAGTTTTATATAATAATAGCTTCGCCTCGTAGTTGTGGAAATTCCTGAGTATGCATCCTAGGAGCATCCTCGATTTACGCGTCTGTGTTGCCACTTGCTCGGAAAATGTCAAGTCACTAGAGTACCTGAGTCCTAGGTCAACAACACTTTGGAGTTTAGGCAAGTCAAGAGATTCAAGTACTAGTTTAATGTTTATTGAGGGTGCACCGAAACAGATCCAACCACATTTTTTAAGGTTGAATTTTAGGTTCCATGTGGAGGACCATGCAGTTACTCGATCTAGTTCTTCCTGAACAGCTTTCTGAAAGTACCCTAAGTCATCACAGTGGAATGTGTAAGCTACTTTAAGATCATCTGCGAAGATGAATGGTTTGCCAAGTGAGAAACAGCTGCATATGTCGTTGACATATAGAGTGAATAGGAGGGGGCCTAAGACGCTACCTTGAACTACTCCAGAAGTGACTGGACTAGGTTTAGAATTTACAGACCCCAGTTTAACTACT